GCAAGTTATAGCCCAACACCTTCCACCCATCAAAACGTCTAGACTGTGGGTTGGGCTGTAGTGGCCATCATCTCCCCAGTCCCGGTTCCCATCTCACATTTAAGTGGTTAATAATGGTACGAAACAGTATACCCCTTTCCTCGGCTCCTGGGCCGTGATGAGGGACTGCTGAGCCACTGAGCTCTGCCCCTTTTCCCGCTGGACGTGGATGCAGTCGGAACCCCTCTTCTGTGGTAAGAACAGCCGCCAGTCCGGGCGAAAGCCCAACGCCTTCCAGGACACAACCAACGCAGCACGGGCGCCGCCATTGCCCCTCCACACTCCTGGTCAGGTGACACAGCTTCCCTCTGCCGCGAGGCTCTCTGGGAAGCGTAGTTCAGGAAATGGATAAAACGTGCTAGGCTCCGACCGGAAGACTACTATTCCCGGGGAGCACTGCGACTCGCAGGCTGCCGGAACCCGGACGGCGAGGGAGGGAGGGACAAATGGGAGAGAGGGTGGGAGGGTTTCTGGGTTGGAAGGTGTGACTCCTCCTAGCGGGGAGCTGGGGAGGTTTGTAGCTGTGAGCACGTGTGTAGAGTTCGCGTGAGAGCAAGTGGTGCCGGAGATCGGGAGCTGAGAAACCTGGCCAGGATTTTATACCCTACTTAATTTTTCAAGCTGACGTAAATGACCTTGACATCTCCGCGACGATTTCCTGAATCCCAAACTCACGCAGTTATTTTTTTCTGTACATTTCCACTTCACACACCAATTTGTGCATTAATGCATTAAATACTTACTTGTGTGCCTGCTGTGTGCCAGACACTGCTCTTAAAAACTGAGGATTCATCAGTGAGCAAGACAGTTACGGCCGCTGTGCTCATAGAGCTTACGTTCCTGGCAGACGAGACATACAGAAAATTTAACAAAAAATAGGATATTTTCATATAGGTAAAAAGAGCTATATTTCAGCAGAGGTGCTTGGAGACAAACAACCTAGACTGAACCTTCAGGTATGTTTTAACTTACTATTTTTGTTCTTGGCCAGTATTTGAAACACTTTGTACATACAGGAGGAAGCCTTGATAGCAGATATGGTCATCCCAGGGGACTTTTGTTTGTTTTCCTGCTTCAAAACTCCTTCCCTTCTTGAAAATTCCCACCGATTTCTTGCATTTGAACACAATTTAGAATAGCTATTCAACCATTCTTTATAATACCGCCCTATTTTAATACTCCACATAGTGCTTCTGACTATCTGATACTTATCTTCTGTCTCCACAAGCTCCTTGAGAAGGGGGAATTTGTCTGCCCTATTCAATGCAGTATTACCAGAGTACGAAGTAGTCCCCTCAAAAATACTTGTTCAGTGAAGAATGCATTTGACAAGGGTTGGAGTGGATGCCCTTTGGAGCAGTCATTGTGTAGGAGAAAGATAATGCTGTGTAGGAGGCAGAGAGAAATTGACCTCTGTGAAATAGATTTGGGAGGTAAGACAGGGACTTGGTGATGGATTGGATAGGTGGTAGAAGACTAGGTGGGGTCAAGTAACTCCTGAATTTCTGGCTCCTACAACTGAATGGCTGATGAAGTTCTTCACTGAGATAAGGAAACTAGAAAACATGTTGGTTTGCAGGAAAATATGACTTTTGTTGCCTTGGAGACATACAAGAGGAGAAGTCAAAGAAGTATCATTGATGCCTAATTCTGAGTATGGAGCAGGGGGAAAGCTGCATACTCTGCATACTTCACACTGATAGATTTGCAGTTATTGATCAAGAACCTGTTGATTAGACATCTGTAACTATGGTCTATTTCCATTAATACTCGTGTGCAGTTTTAATATTATGCAATTTAATCCTTCCATGTAGGCAATTTTACTTTCCTTAAAATTGTCATTATCTATTTTTTCTATCTCCTTTTTTCATCCATGATCGCTGATCCAAATTGCTATGTCAGAAGTATTTTCACATGACCCAAAATGAAAATGAGAGAAATGACAGCGATGGCAAAGCAGAAATGGAGATTTGTTCCAAAATGTATCTCGAACCATTGCCCTTTCTATCAGGTTCAGATCACTCTTTAGATCCTTTGTTAGTATCTCTCCCCTGAATGTCTGTCTTTCCCACCTTTACTCTAGGTAAGCTGGCTTTCTCTTTCTTATTTAGCTCCTCAGGTTTACCTGCTCCAGCCTGTGGGTCAGAGGAATTGCCTCCGATCACAACGTGGTTCCACCTTTGATGGGACTACAGAGGATAGGAGAATCCTATATCTCGGAAGTGAGCACGGGCATCCTTTAGCCAAAAGGAGAGGGCGATCCTTGCTACCTTACCACTGCTGATCAGCCTACTTAGGAGGCAACTAACTCCCCAGTGTGGTTAGGGATGTTTTGAAAGCCACTGTGAGAGAGCAACATACCTAATGAAAATCCTCATTTCATGGGCAAAATGTACTATAATGGAAACTCATCTTTGCTTATGAAGCAGTATTATGCCGTGATTGCATATCCCACCCCACCAGTAGAGGGAGAGAAAATCCAATATATGTAGGTGGATTTGCTTTCTTTCACAAATGGAAAACTTCCAGTTGGATGTGTATTACGTAGTCCTTTCAAAATCCCACAAGAGCTCATGGCTTTCTCCTCCCACAAGGTTATCATTTCTGGAAATGCCCATTGGCTTCCTCGTGCTGGGTCTGGTGTCTAGGAGTGAGTTGTTTTCCCTCCTGCCTTCCTCCTTAGCTAGTCAGAGGCTCCCACCAAACCTTCTACCATGAAACCGTTTCTCCTGCCACCCTGCCGCATGCCAAATTCGCTGTCTGTCAGAGCTCTTACTGACAGCTCTCTAGCTAAGAGAGCTATTTTGGTTCTACCGAAAACGTAGCTGTCACCTGAAAGACACAGAGATTTTCATTTTCAAGAAGCTCAGAAGGTTGCAGGTCAGGGTTTCTAGCAAAAACATTTTCTTAGGGAGAGTTTCTCAGCTCTTATTTTCTTCACATAATTGACACAGTACAAATAAAGTTAGAACAGCTTTTTAAAAAGATATGTAAGCCAGAACAGAGTTTCAAGTTGTTACTTCTAAATGGCAGTAGTTAGGAAGTGTATCTAAAATAACATGCTTGGTTTTGTTTAGTATTCTTCACAGAATCTTTGAATGTCAGAGTTGGAACAGACAGGCTTACCTCAGTGTTTGACTCAGAATCCCTAGGTATCTATATAAACATGTCGATTTCTGAACACAAATCATTTCCCCACCTCACCCCACATCTGAGTTGTATTTAATTGTAATCACTTTCTTTCTTATCCTTTTCACTCGTTTGAGTTGGAGGCAATGATGAGAAAACATGGTATTCCAGGGTTTATAACTTCTTCAGTATCATGGGTGCAATATGAGAGAATGACACAAATGGCTCTAAGTTTCCATTTTTTTAAATAAAGTAAATGATTTTAAACATTGAAATTTCAAGTAAAATTAAAAGGAGATAGTATCCATTCTTCATTCTGATAATGTGTCATGGCAATGTATCTCAACATTGATTTATATACAATTTTGAATCTTAAAATTATGTTAACTAACCTACCTAGTCTTTGATTAACTACTTTTGTTTTGTAGAAACAAAGGCAGTGCTTTAAGGACATTTAGCAGACTAATAAAGAAAATGCTCCTTAGAGCTGAATAGGCTGGTTATCTGAGTATTTCTTAACACAGCTGTGAGTTTAGTTCCTCTGTGTGACTGATAGTTTCTATCAGTTCTGTGGCTGTAGCGCCCGGCCTGCTGCCTCGAATGTTATACCCTGTGGGGAGGGAGGAAAGTCAATATCTAAAAAAGGAAAAAGGTCCACTGAAGATGATGTGCATATGACAAAAACAGACAGCAGCATTTTCATGTAGGAAAAACCTTGGCACTAGAGGAAGCCCTGTTTTTGAAAAAGCATTCTGAAAACATAAAGTTCCTTTTTAGAAAAACCACAGTGTAAGACCCCAGTCAAGTGTCATTGGGGAAGAAGAAAGACTGGGAACAGGTGCATGCCGGGCAATCAGGAGAACAGGATTCATTTCCTTTTATTTTACCATCAAGTCTCGATACTGATAAAATACTGATGTGGAGGGAACAATTGCTTTTTCTAGAAGATTGCTTTGAGGCAGAGAAATCTATAGCTTTTTATTCCTTCTAAAGCAGGGAAATAGAGCGCCCTGTCCAATGTCTTTGTAGAGATGAAGTGCCGGCTGGGGAAGACGAGGCCACGCCCTTCCTTCTTCTGTATGGTCTCAGGGGATGGCTTCTGTTTTCCCAGGCCTTTTCTTTGCTGAAAATCGGACTAATCCTGGAAGCAATCAGGAATGATGTGTAAGAGAGAAGCCCCACCTCTTCACATCCCCATGACTCAGCTTACTTCAAAGAATATACTTCTGAGTTGCAAGTAATGGGCAGTAGACCATGTTGGACAATGCGTGCCTGTAAGCTGTGTGGCCAGATCCCTGCTGTTCACTAAGAAGCTCTCCCTTTTGTGCTTTAGGATTGGGTATTTGGCCTTCAAAGTGACAGATCTTGTGTACACACACACACACACAACTACGCCGTATCTTATTTCAAGATGATGCACGGATAATGATTAAGAGCTTTTAGGTTTCAAAATAGATAATGTTTTTGTATATCAGAGGGTTCGCTTGATTTTAAGTTTAAAGATTATGAGAAGTACCAGCATGACGTTAAAGAACTACGCCACCAAGATACGAGAGCTCCGATGACGCTTTTCCGTCCGTGGATGAACTCCCACTTGAGGACTGAAGGGAAGGTGTATCAGAGTCCACCAGGGTGGTACAGAAGAGAGCAGACAGGCTTATCTTGCACATCCTGGTAGATAATCGGTGTCATTACCTGCAACTATCTGAACTGGATCTCTGTATCTAGGCTGCCCTTGAACCAAGAATGGATGGGCTGCACAGAGTAATAAAGGCTGAAATCTCGGTGGCAGAGCCTTCAGGGCTCCCCACAGTTTAACGTATGGCCATTGAGAGGAAATTTAGTGCTCCATCAAGAGGGACCAGATTGAATTAAAACCAAGCGGCTCAATCCAAACACATTAGCAATCAAATGATATAACTCCTGAGATAAATGCAAAGAGAGAGACAGAAAAACATTCCCAGCGATCCGTGAATACTGATTAGGGAGGAAAAGACCAGCACAGACATTATTCATATCTCCTCAGAGTCTGAGTCTAGTTTCGAATTTACGAATCAGATTTGATAACTTGACTCAACAGTAATTTCAAGTTGTTGTTGATTCTACACTTAGACCAGCTTTGCTGCTAAAAAGGCATTTTCTCCCCTTTTACATAT